TCGAGGTGCTATGATCAGAGGAACTTTCACGACCTTCTAGAATTGCAGTCAGATAACCTAAAGGATTTTGCTATTTTAGCAAGGCCAAATCCTCCTTAGTTCTGGATCCCGTCGAGGGAACACTTTCGTTGGCAGTAACAACCACGTTGGCCACTTGATCTGGAATTTCTTCAGTGCCTGGAGGATTTTGGTTTCCTTCGGCAAAACCTTCTTCACCATCAGCCTCTGGGATCTCTATATTCTCCCTATCTATTTCAGTTTCAACGCCAGGGATACCTTCCTCTTCATTCTCTTGCACATCAACCAGCGGAACCCTAGTCTCCTCTTGGTTTCCTGCAGCTTCTTCTTCATCAGCTTCTTTTATGGTTTCATGTTAAGGTTCGGAAGTTTGATTTACTTCGTCAGCTGAACTCATGAAATAGCCTTTCGCTGAAGAAGGCCTATAGGTAGGATCTCCTTCACTATTCAAGAGGGTGACAGAGTCCTCGACATGAGTAGGAATTCGTTTGGAAGTGCCAACAGTGTCCTGGAAAATAAAAGGAATTAGTTTCTTTCAGAATCCTCATAAAGCAAAAGGGAGTCGAGAAATAAATGATGATATGTCGAAGCAAATACCTGGACTGGGATTTCAGCACCAGGACTGGAGTTATCACTCTCGCTAGGATTGTTTAGCCTAGCAATTACCTCTTGTTCAGTAGGCTCGTTGATGACTACAGGAGGAGGCCTCGCAGCTGTAGTCTTAATCCTGATTTTGGGACGAGGTTCGACGGCAGGAACTGGTTTCTTCAATCTTCATCTCTGTAAAGGAACAGGAGGAGACTCCTCTTCTTCATCGCTAGAGATTTGGATCTCCTGAACCTTCCGTTTTTTGGGGGTAGGTTTCTGAGTACCCTGAAAACCAAGTCGAAGGGATCAGTACCCATGTCAGACAATCATAAAAAAAATAAGGGTATGGAAGAAAGTAAATACCTTGGGAGAGGGGTTGACGGCGGAATCTCCCCCTTTTGTACTCTCAGCAGTCTTCTTCGAGGTGGTTCTCTTGACAGCTAAAAAGAAGACAAGAAAACTATAGTTAACCGAGTGTCGAAAGACAAATCTGAGGCGAAGAGATGGAAAAGAATAATACCTTTCTTGACCCTGTCGAGAACCAGCTTAAATGCCTCACGTAGGTGGTGGGCGAAGTCCTTCTCATCGAAGAACTCTTCGTCATAATACTGTTTCCACCACTCCTCAAAAGTAACGGAACTCAGAAAATTGAGGTTAAAGTCGAACAGGGTCAGTATAGTTCGACCGGAGTACCTACCAATATGCTTGGTAGCAGCATCTTCTGAGTAGTCTGCATTGTAAAAAAGTAGCAGCTTCTCTCGAGGATAAATGGGTGAGGGAAGTGACTGAGCAATACCAAATTGTCGAGAGACAAGATTTGGTTGATAAGCAATCAAGCTCAATTGATTTTTTGAGCTCTTGAATCTCAATGGCATGATCCTGGGGCGAAGAAATGATTCCCACATGCTCATGAACTCATCAGTCACGTCTTCCTCCTCATTCGAAGGATATGGTCTGGTGAACCATTCTGGACCAACTTTTCGACTGGCAAAGGGAGCCATGGTCGAAACAAAGCGCTTTCGCTCCGCAAACATCATTACAAAGCTTGTGAAAGCCTTCTGAAACTGTTGGCCTTCACCAGTGGGAGTTAGCAATGCAAGCCTGGTGCCTTCGACCCTCCTGTTCAGGATTTCAGGGGCCTCTTCGTTAATCTTGTTCTTCTGAGGAAGAAAAGATTCAAAGGTGGCATTGAGCCAAAGTTGGAGAAGTCAAAAAGGACCAGATAGCAGCAGGCTCCCCCTGTCCCCTATAACCTTAAGTTAAGTCACACCATTACTGATGGACTCATATAGGTTGGCCAAAATCAATTCGGCCAGGCAAAGGGGGTATTTGTGGTGAAGCTGCGCCACGAGCGTCAACATCTTTTTCGTCACCTGAAGTGACTTAGTACAAAAAACAAAACGAGACAACCACATAGCCAAGAAGGCTATATGCTCCACCTCCGACACAGTACTAGAGGTTTTATCATGGAAGTGGTTAATAAAGGTGGTGTAAGTGGGTTTTGTAGCAGCAAACCTAATAGCATCCTCAGACAAGTCTTCAGGGTCGAAATAGTCACCAGTCGGTCGAAGACCAGTGATTGCAGCTATGTCGAATAAAGTGGGGGTCATAATCCCACAAGGAAGATGAAAAGTGAAATGCGCGCTATCCCAGAAATACAATGAAGATACCAGCATGAGGGGGCAGTAAGGCAATCCTGTCTTCACAGCATCACCAAGTCATAAATGCCCATCTCCTTCCAGACGGAAGCTTGCGCCTTCTCCATTTTATTCAACCAGTCTGAATACTCAGAGGAGAGGTTAGAGTTGGATCGAAAGATTCGGTTCCCTTTGTTCATGAACTGGAGGTTGATATCCTCTGTAGTCTGAGGGTGCTGCTGGTTAGCCGGAGTAGCGTCTTCAGGGTCATCCCTAGGCTTCTTCGCACAACCTATGGGTCTGAGCCTTGGGTGAGTAGGGAAGAAGGCGCGATTCTTCAAGGGATTTTCGATGCATGAAGACAACGGACCAGACATAGCATACATGTTTCCACCGTATCTGATGGGAATGAGGAGCTGAGAATCATATGCCTCTCGCCATTCCTTCGTCATGGGTTCAGCAACATACCTATCAATCGAAGAAGAAGGAGGGTTAGTGGAAAAGACCTCTGGTGGTTTTTGGACATCATCGGCGTTTTTAGGTTGAGGATTGTTTGGTGCATTGGAGAGGAAAGCCATTGTTGAGGATTTGGAAGAAAACGAAGTTGACAGTACAATGTTGTTTGAAAGCAAGAGATTTGGAAATGCTGGAAATGGTAAAAGTTCCAAATAGAAAGGTTCATAAGTATTTATAGCCTTCAGAAGAGGGATATGTCTCGTCAAGGCCATTTAATGTTTCGCAGGTAGTGGGACACGTGGCGAAGTGTGAAGTGGGTACCGTGCAGGCGTTGGGAAACGTTTTGACATGCTTGCCTAGGTTATAGGAATATGGTCATCATAGCAAGCACGGTAACGGCAGTTAGTAGAGACATCTTGGAGAAAGAGTAATGATGGTTTTCTCAAGTGCAGCAGCTGTTGGAAGGCGAAAAGTACACGTCAAGACCTTGTGGACAACTGGGAAGACATGTGTCGAATGGGAAGTTCAAAGAATGGCTATTTCTTTGGGCGTCGAAATAGACATTCTTGGGGGGGCAATTTATTGGCTCCCAAATTCGACACTTACTATATTTGGTCTTTAAGACCAAAAAACTGGAATGAACCAAGTCAAGAAGAATGTTCGACATATGAAATAACTTAGGGAAAAAGATCTAAGTTATATTTGAGCCTTCGACCAGGGCTCATTTTCAGGTTCGTTCGACTGAAGAGGACTTATGTCCCTCGACTGAGAGAAAGTATCCTCGCTTTGACACATGATACGAGGATTATTTGAATTTTGAATTATTGGAGGGAAAGGCAGTTTCGCCAGCGTTTAAGAAGAAGCAACGTGGCTGAAAGCCATAGGTCGAGGAACATGCAGAAGACACTTGTCTTCATCTTAGCGCATAATGATTCCTCGACGGTTACTTATTTTTAGTATAAATTAAGAAACTTGTGTAATTTTCAAGTGTGTTCAACCTATTGTACTAAGTCACTCAAACATTATCCAAGTAACTGCTGCGTGAGAAAGGATAAAGACTGAGAAATGTACGTTGGAAACACCTTTTTTCCTTAATGAAAGTCTTTTACATTACTTTACTATTATCCTGCAAAGTTATCTTTTTTACTTCTTTTACTTGCATTTCTACATTTCTGCTTACTTTTCCAAAATCTCAAACATTCTTTCTCTGGGTCGAACGTGCGTTCTTCCTGCTTATCCATCTTATATAAAAATTGGCATATGTCATGTGATTAATCTGATCGATCCCGTAAGTAAACCAAAAAGAACTTATCTTTTTGGAGATCAGCGGTTGTTTACCAAAAACAACGGTAAACACAGAGCCAAATATCATTGAAGAAAAAACATTAATGGTGTTGTAAGATGGTGAAATATGATTGTGTTAGTAAATTCAAAGTGTCTAGCCTGGATGAAATTAGTAAATAACTGAAAGTTGAATTTAAAATCTTTTTGAATGAAAGGTTTGATTGTCTTGATTTGAATCATATGCATCATTTTAAAATCTTTTTGAATGAAATTGCCGAAAATAAATTCATATTCACTTTCTACGTGGTTGCATCAAAATCATCATCTTCATGGTGACCGAAGCAGAAACATAACTATCAAAAAAACTTCAAATTCATCTTCATCTTTATCCTATGAAAATCGATAGGTTCTTGATACTATATTATAAAAAAATAGAATTAGAGAGATGAAGGATCAATTTCAATATATAGAGCTTCCTAGACATTACTAACAAACTAACCCATTTATAACAAACTCAAACAAACCAACCAATATAACAAACTTGTAACAAATTTTAACTAAAGAACTAATTACCGAATAATAAACTTTAACTAAGGAACTAAATGTTAACTAATTTATGTATTCTACGAAGATCATTTCAAAATCAACTAGCAACAAAATATAATTGATTTAATAGAGCTGTTATTGACCAACGTCTCATAGTGTTAGGAGTGTAACCGTGAAAACAGCCACGACAAAACAGTTTTAGGATATGTAAATACTACCGCTATCACTATTTTCAATATTGAAGAACAAATAATCTGAACAGAGTACACAATTATCAAACTGAAAAATAATATACATAATAACTATCTGTCAACAATCTTTTCTTTACAGTATAATTTAGAATAAGTGCCAAAAAAATTCAGACCCTTGTAAGAATCTTATCTCTTGTGGTTTGATATTCCAATCCAGCCTTAAAACCAAGAAAATAATAAAATACCAAGACTGTTGAAATATCATAATAAAATGGAGGACTCAATTCTGAGATGTTGAATCCGCCACTTGGTTATGCCTCTTTGAAGGAGCTGATGGTGGCACTGATCCTTTAGGGAAGAAGTTGAAAACCAAGCCTTGGTATGGAAAGCCCTGTAGGGTATGTTTTCCCTGTTGAAACCCTCTTCTTTCATTCAACTTCATAGTTGTCCCAGTTCTTATTGCAGTACAAGAACCAAAAAGGAGGAAGTAAAATATAAGGAGAACTAGAGAAAAGGTTTTGCATGGAAGATGCAAGGATTTAGAAGAATGAGAATTTTCCATTAGAAGATGCAAAAACTTTATTTGGCGGGGTTTAAGGGTTGGTAAAGTGTTGAGTTTTTATGTGTTTTTGCTTGAGGAACAGTGATAGAATTAGGCAATGTGCATTGTGAATAGAGTGAAATTTGAAGAAAATAAAAAAAAAAAAAATAGAGAAGTGTGTTGCACGCTAAAGGGTAGCAAAGACTAATGCATATTTTGAATGTCAACGGTTGAAAAAATTAATAATATTAGTACTATCAATTTGGCGCCGGCTGCGCTTGTGGTTGGACTTGGAATGCCAATATCTTCCACGGGTGTACACGGAATTTCTAATCTTTAGGTCCAAGAAAATGATTTTTTAGGGGAAAATATACCAATGCGTATCATTGTGAAGAATTGAATAATTGGCACATGGTAGATGCCTGAGTATATACAATGAGGATATATATGGTCACTATTATTGTACGTGGCAGGTGTTCTCATTTTAGTTAATAATTACTTTTTTATTTTATGTTTTGAAAATTTTAAACACTAAAATCAATTTTGTTTTGGAAAAGTAAACAAATGTAACTTACGAGTGAAAGATTAATAAAGCTTCAGCCGTCTGTTAATTTTTTTTATGAGGTTGGTCATTAGGTTGAACATTTACATAGAATCCAAACACGAGTGGCATAGAGACAAAATTCTTTCTAGATTGTGTATTCTTCTTTGGGATATTTCTTATAATTTCTTAGATGCAAGGACCTTAGGCCGTGACCGGCCATCATCCCCCAACTATTCAAATTTAATCACTTCTTTTTTCACTTGTAGTTAAACACTTTCTTATTTCTTTCTACGCTAGGAGACAAACAAATTTTTAAGCAAGTGACACGTACCACTAATACTTTTCTTATTCAATTTGCATCCGACAAAATCAGAATCAATGTACCCAACTAAGTCATAATCTTCTCCCTTAGGGTACCATAAGACCCTTTATTGTGTTCCAGTGAGATATCTCATGATACATTTAATCGCAGTGAGACGTGATTCTTTCAGGAATGCTTGAAAGTGAGAACATAGACAAACAACAAACATAATATCAGGACAAGATGCAGTTAGATATAGAAGAGAACCTATCATACCTCGACATTTGATTTCCTCAATTGGTTTTCCATTTTCGCCTTTCTCGAGGTTGTATGATGTTGACATTGGGATTGTGATTACTTTGGACTTCTCCAAGTCAAACCTTTTTAGAAATTCTTTGCAGTATTTGGCTTTATTTAGGAAGATTCCTTCTTTAGTAGGAAGGATTTGAAGTCCTAGGAAATATCCAAGCTCCCCCAACATTGACATTTCAAACACATTCTATATTATTTTAGAGATTTCCGTGCACAAGGATTCATTAGTAACACCAAAAATAATATCATCGACGTGAAATTGAACTAATAAGATGTCATGTTTGGTTATCTCGATAAAGAGAGTTTTATCAACGTGTCCTCTTTGAAACTTGTTATAAAGAAATAATTTACTTAGACAGTCATACCAAGCTCTAGGGGCTTGTTTTGGTCCATGTGGCACTTTCTTAAGCTTGAAAACATGACTTGGAAAGACCAAGGTGATAAAACCTTGAAGTTGATCAACATACCTCCTCTTGCATGTAGCCATTTATAAAAAGCAATTTTTACATGCATTTGAAATAATTTGAAATTCATTATGCAAGAGAAATCTAATAACATACCTATGACTTTTAATCTTTCCACGTGGGAATAGATCTCATCAAAATCTATTCATTCATATTGATTGTATCCCTTCACAATAAGTATGATTTTATTTCTTAAAACATCTCCATCTTTGTCCAACTCATTGCAAAAGACCCATCAAGTACCAATCACTAGATTAACTTAAGCTTTGGAAATGAGTTCCCCAACATTGTTTCATTCAAATTGATTTAACTTTTCATGCATGGAAATAGACCAATGTTCATCGATGATAGCTTCGTTGATTTCTATTGGCTCAATTTTTGAAACAAAAGCCATAAATTTATATACCTTATTAAGGGGTTTTCGAGTAATGACTCCCTTAGAGATGTCTCCAATAACATTCTGGATAGTATGGTATTTTGTTGATATCTATTCTTTTGAAAGATTTTCCAATCCTAGAGGATTATATATGATTTGGTCCTGAGTTGGTTCTTCATCTATGAATTGAATCTCATCTTTCCCTAGATTTTGACTACTACAAAAAGTACATTTTAAGACAATAATTTCACTTCACCCAACAAAAATCGAGGTATAATTATTAGACGCGCTACGTTATTTAAAAAAAAAACCATATATTCCCTCGGTTACATATTATAACCGAGGAGTAAAATAATCCGGGCTCATTCTTCGAATCCCAACAACTTCAGTTTTTTTTTTATTTCTTTAAAAGTTGTGTCTTTCTTTTTATTTTAATTTTTATTAAGTTATTAAATAATAATATTCTATCAGGTCCCCTAATAGCTAAGGGGTATGATACCCAAAATTAGCTATAAAAGGATTCATTCACTAAGTTTTACCCGAAATAAACCTAACTCATATATCCAACCGCTCCATACTCGTAGACATCATTCTCTTAGATGGATTGCAAGACATAAAAATTCTCGTGTTCTGTGTTGTTGTTCTTCTAACACCAATCATTAATGATTCACGTGAAACCGTCATGACAACCATTCAGAATGCTAACACATCAGTATATATCTAAATAACCAACATCGAGAACATCAAACATTTATAATAAAAATATTAAGATTGAAAAAAGTGAAACTAAAAGGAAAGTGGAAACGGTCTTTGTGATGGATTACATGAGCAAAAAATAGTATTGGTTGAAGGTTTGTGTTTTTATCATAATCTCTTCTCTTTACTTGATAAGTTAGTTTCTTTAATTAACCTATGTTATTCTTATATACAAAAACAAATTGAATAAGAAACCATTGATAATATCTTGCAAAATAGGGATACACAACTACTTCCAACATTTGTCTTTCCCCAAGACTCACAGAGATGATGATGAAGACGTTTCAAGATCCTTCTTCAAAATTGCACTTGTAGGTTTAAATCAAAATAATATAAAATTATGAAAATTATATATATATATATATATATATATATATATATATATATATATATATATATATATATATATATATATATATATATATATATATATATATATATATATATATATATATATATATATATATATATATATATATATATATATATATATATATATATATATATATATATGAGTATATATAAAAACACACACACACACACATTTCACCTTAGTTATTGGTATAACTGATAGGTAAAGTTGTTTATTTTTAAATAAAATACGAAATTGCAATTGCTTGGATTCAAACTCATATGCATTACACTTTATCCCTCGATTTTACAGATATCGAGGATTAAAGTGAAAATTTTTTATGACACCCTTTATCACATCGCCTTTGAAACCGAGGTAAAATCCAGTTTCCAATCAAGGTAAAATGTGTTTTTTTTGTAGTAGTGTTGGTTCATAATTTTCCTCCAGATTTGTCTTTTCCGAGATACCTGCATAGTCAATCACTTCTACTTTTAATGGTTTAGGGTTAGATTCATTAAAATTAACGTGAATTGATTCTTGTATTGTCATATTTTTTGTTAAACACTTTAAATATTTTGCTACAAGTGGAATATCTTATAAATATTCCATTATCAACTTTTTCATTAAATTTTTTAAGGTTATCCTTAATGTTGTTAAGGATAAAGCATTTGAACCCAAAAACATGTAACTGAGATATATTTAGCTTTTATTTATTTATATAGTTCATAAGGAGCCCACTATAGAATTGGTCTTATTAAGACATGATTCATAACATAACAAGCAATGCTTACAACATAAGTCCATAAATACTTAGAAAGGTTAGCCTCATTGAGCATCGTCCTCACAAGCTCTTCTAGAGATATACTTTTCCTCTCTACTATCCTATTTTGTTGGGGAGTTTGTGGAGTGGAAAATTCATGTCGAGTACCCTTCTTTTTACAAAAAATTGAAATCCTCATTTTGGAATTCTCCACCATGGTAGTTGTTGGTTGATGCAATGCTTACTCTTATTTTGTTCTGGATAACCTTGACTAGTTTTTGAAAGGTAGGAAATGCTTCTCTTTTTTTAGATAAGAATAATATCCAGATATAGCGAGAATAGTCATCGGCAATTATAAGAGCGTAGACATATTCACCTAGACTTACAGTTCAGGATGTGCCAAAAAGGTCCATGTAAAGCAATTGTAAGAGCCGATCAATAGAAACAATATTTTTAGCTTTAAAAGAGGCCCTTAGTTGGTTTCCATTTTTGCACACATCACATAATATGTTCTTTTCAAAAGGTAAGTCTGGAAGACCGTCTATAAGATATTAATAGACCAACTTGTTCAAGTGATCAACATGGATGCACTACTACGAAAAATACATATAACAATGGTTGCAAAAGACATATAATAACGGTTCAACAACCGTTGTTAGGTAAAGTGTGATTGTAAGTGGATTATTTATAATCACGATCTATTTCCCGTGGTAGTAAACTGGATAGCACGCTACATACAATCATATTTTTTATTAAACAACTGTTATTGTATGTCTTTTAATAAAATAAAAAATGAAACAGTAGAGCAACAACAACAACAACAACAAGAATACCAAGAACAACAACAAGACCAATAAAAACAAGAAGAACAACAACAATAATAATAATAATAATAATAATAATAATAAGAAGAACAACAACAATAATGATAATAATAATAACAACAACAACAATAATAATAACAACAATAAAACAACAACAAAACAACAATAATAACAACAGGAACAAGAACAATAACAATAACAAAAAAGAATAACAAGGACAACAACAACTAACTTTGTTATCTTGAATCCATACTTTCTGTTGTAAATGTTCCTTAAAAACCTTTGTTGATAAAGAGAAAAAAAGCATATTTTAGAAATTGCATATATCACAA